ATGCGCGGGTGCATCCCGCGACGTTCAATCCCTGCGTTGTAACTAGCGGAACTGACCCGAATTGCCGCACAACGAAAGTAGACAGTGACTAAGACAGTCGATATTCAAGCCGGAGGCAAACAAGAGGCCCGTACATCGGGTTCTGGTGAAAAATACTCGGCACGCACATCAGCAATAATGCGAGCAGGAGAGTTGGAAATTTTCTGGTTGCAGGTTGCGCCAAACTGGTGTAACACAGTGCATGTGGTGTCCCGTGGTGGGGGCCGTCACTAAAAAGAGCTGCTCTGAGCTTATCGGGCAGGTGCAAGCGCGACCTTGAATTTTGACCCTTGAGGCATGGTTGCAATCGAGTACAATCCTGGGAATGGCATAATCAACCTAGCATTGAACTTGTCTGCACCGCAAACGCTGGTCACCGCCACCGCTTACTGCCGACCTGATCTCGTCCCATTTAGGTTCCTACCGCTTTGCATTTGCAACTCTTTACCAGGTGGAAATGCCTGATTCTGATGCTGGCGACGACGATAGTCGCTCCCAAAAACGCAGCCACGCCGACTTTGCAGAACAAGATGGAGCTGGTGAAACTCCTTGGCGGCATCCAAGACTTCGCCCACGTTAGCTAACAAAGGCATAGATACCTCGTCGGACGATGATATGGGACCTCAGCTCCCATCCGAAGCACCCAAGAAGAAACGCCGCGTCCTGCCGTACGAGAAGCTCTACGTATCCGCGCTACCAAAGTCAGCGCGGTATTCAAAGTCCTTAATGCACAAAGAGCAGTTGCTCTTCGTCACATGGACCCCGTTGACCGAATTCCTCATTACAGCCTCCATTGACGGCGTTGTCAAGTTCTGGAAGAAGATTGCCCAGGGCATTGAGTTTGTCAAGGAGTTCAAGGCACACAACGGCGAGATCAAAGCCGTATCCGTGAGCAAGGATGGTCGGAGCTTTGCAACCGCTGGTGTCGACGAGACGGTCAAAATCTTTGATGTCATCACATTTGACCTGTTGTCTATGCTGTCATTAGACTACGTGCCAAAATGCGTCTGTTGGGTTCATCAGAAAGGAGCATCGTTTCCACTGCTGGCAATTTCAGAGGAATCCAAGCCTTTATTACACATTTATGACGGCCGCGGCGAGAGCGAAGAACCGATACATACCATCAAGAGCCTGCACCGAAGCCCGGTCCATATTATGGCGTTCAATGATTCCTACGACTGCGTTGTATCAGCCGACGAAAACGGCATGATTGAATACTGGCGACCTGGCGGAAACTACGAAAAGCCGGATAATGTGTTTCAATACAAAAGTTCGACCAATTTGTTCGATTTCAAGAAGGCTAAAGCGGTCCCGACATGTCTAACAATGTCGCCAAATGGCAACAGCTTTGTCACCTTTTCATTTCCGGATCGACAAATTCGCATTTTCGACTTCGGCTCCGGCAAGCTACAGCGCACGTATGATGAGTCTCTGCAGGCTATCGAAGATATGCAGCAGACTGGGTCAGCGTCTCAAAAACTAGACAGCGTCGAATTCGGCAGGAGGCTCGCGCAGGAACGAGAGGTGGATTCGCAACTGCTACGGCACAAATCAAACGTCATATTTGATGAATCGGGCAATTTCATTGTGTATGGCTCTATGCTGGGAATCAAGGTCCTCAACACGTACACGAATCAAGTCATCAAAGTTTATGGAAAGGATGAGAACTTTCGTGCAGTCAACCTCGGCCTGTACCAGGGCCAGCCGCAGAAGAAGGGCATCGTTTCGGTCGAGATGGGCGCGTCGAGCAATCCCCTTCTACAAGAGGCGGAAGCCCGAGACCCGATCCTCGTTGCCACCGGGGTCGGAAAGGTTCGCTTCTACATGTTTACCAACGAAGATGACGTACCAAAGGCCAGCAGAGACATACACAATGAGCGACCAACCATGTTGGGGAACAAGAAGGAGGGCAATGCTAAGGCCACAGCGACAGGGAGTGCTGCAGTCCTCCATACCAATTATGGGGACATCCACATACGCCTCTTCCCCGAAGCGGCACCGAAAACGGTGGAAAATTTCGTCACCCACGCGAACAACGGCTATTACAACAACACGATATTTCACCGAGTAATCAAGAAATTTATGATCCAGGGAGGTGATCCGCTAGGCGACGGCACGGGCGGCGAAAGTATTTGGGGCAAGGAGTTTGAGGATGAATTCAGCAGTCTGAAGCACGACAAGCCGTTTACTGTAAGCATGGCAAATGCCGGGCCCAATACCAACGGAAGCCAGTTCTTCATCACTACGGAAAAGACGGTAAGCGGTCACACTACCCTCCACCTCTCCAGGCTAAGGCCCTTGTCGGTTTCAACTAACCATTGACAGCCCTGGCTGGATGGCAAGCATACCATCTTCGGACGAGCCACTCAAGGGTTCGATGTTATTCAGAACATCGAAAACGTCAGGACCTACAAAGAGAAACCCGAAGAGGACATTAAAATTCTCAATATTGATATCATGTAGAAGCAAATACCATGGCGAAATTCTAACGCGTCTCCTTTAGTCGTCGCGATGGCGCAGAGCCTTTTGAACGCTGCCTGTGATATCTAAGACGCTTTTCCCAGTCGTTAATCTATCGAAAACCTTGAACCCAAGGTTCAAATTAGATTAATAGATGCATCAAGCCAACTTTTAGGCCGTGCATACGGCTGACTGCGGGTCTCGCACATTTTTAGGTGCGGGCGCCCAACCATTTCGATCGGTATTGCCTATTTTGACTTCCCAGCAAAGCTGAGGGTATTGCGTATATGAATCTATACCTCCGTCTCTGGGCCTCGTTCCTATTGTGCTTAACCTATTTTCTTGGTTTGAAACTTGGCTGGCATGGATATCAGCTCTCGTCACCTCTTTTCTCCACGCCATCACACTGGGCCTGATTGTTTTCCTAGCCGCGATTGCCGTCACTGCACTTGGATACGTCAGCGCATGATCATCAAATTCCGCCACCCTCGTTGTGATATCTACCTCATATGTCCCAGCTGGAGCCAGCTCAACATCCATCTAGGCATGAAACGTACGTCAAGTCATGCCGCGCCAAAAAAGACCAGGAGCTCGAGAGCCCAAACGAAGGAGCCGCAAAGGCTGTTGGTCAGTATCACACACATACCGTTGATATACACAAGGGATACACAATGACTGACTGAGCCTTTTCCAGGCCGTGCAAGGGGAAAAAAATCAAATGCGGCGAGGAGCATCCCTATTGCAAGAAGTAAGTGTCAAAACAGTAAATGCAAATATTCCAACTCTGCCGAGATCCAACTGGTCTGCCTCGAGCGGCCCTAGAACTCCCAGGTGGGCACATCTGGTGTTACACCAAGGCTGACTGTTCTGTTCTACTTTTTAACCGAAAAGCTGTCTCAAAGTTGGCGATGTCTGCGATTACAGCGTCCGGCTGAACTGGTCCGGCCGTCACACCAAAAGCCAGTTCGTTGGGGAAAACAGCTGTGGCAACTCCTGGCCAGCAAGCAAGCTGGCCCAAATGCCCCATGAGATGTCGGCCGAGAATCCCCAACTTCTAGATCATTTCATGGTCTCGGGCCAGGAACTGGATGGTGCAGACTCTCATAGTGAGGGCAGAATTCAGCAACCCCTTGCCCCGACAACGGTGTTTAAAAACATGACAACAGCCAATGATTCTGACAAGCAAGGAAACTCATTTAATAACACTCTAGTCTTTATTGATGAGTCCCAACAACACTTGAGTGGTGCTGGACCTTCGGAGGGCTATGTTGCAAAGCGGCAGCTTGGACACTCACAAGGGACTACGTCGGTAAGCTCTTCTTGCAGAGGCTCACTGATAAATTCACCTGCATTAGGCGCTGCAGGACACAATAAAACCAAGTCTTTTACCGAGTTTACGGAACTAGATATCGGACAGTCGCAATCAATGCCTTGTCCGAGCTATACACAGAAGAGCACATCGACGCCGTGGCCCTCATACCCCGATGTACTTGACAGTCCGCTTACTCCAACACTTTCATCATACAGTGATGATATTGTGAGTCGCTCAAACTGGACTGAATTTCCCTCCCTTGGGTCTCCTGATTCCTGGCTTTCTGGCCAGGGCTTCTCCGAAAATTCACCATCACGGTCTGGGCATCTATCGGAGGAGCCAGGAGCGCATGGTCTTCAGGAGACTCTAAGCAACTCAGATGTGTACCCTTGCGGAAATGGTGCGTTTTATGGTTATGATTCAGGGGCGGCAGATGAGGATCTGCTGAAGAGTGACGATGCAAATACCGTAGTCCTGCCTCCTTCAGCAGCAGCGTACAATTCCGCAAGCGGAGTCGTAGATTTCGGAGAAGAGGCCATGTCCTGGAAAATTCGAGACAGGACGAGTGGCTTAAATCAATACTACTATAAGAACGTGGTTCCGGTAGTGATTCCCTGGGCTCTCGAGCCATTGCCAGACATGTAAGGGAATAGCACAATCTCCCCCTCCCCTCAGATGCCAGCCTGGAAAAGCAAATGTTGATCGAATTGCATAACAGGTTGAAACGAAACAAGATGAACCTGCTGGTGCGTACTTGCAGAGGATTTCATATTAAGCCCTCCCCCTAGTGGATAAGTCGTTAGCTAACATTTTTTGGACGTTTGTAGTACTTTGTAAGATGACCCAAGCCCTTGCATTGCATTATGTCGTGCAACACTAACTGTGCCAATAGCACCACTTTCTGAACCACACCTCTCACGGTATGATACTTGACATTTTATGTCGTTCATTGTGTTACCCTCCTAATGCGGCTGATGTAGTCCTGGTACCATACCATGATGACAATACAAACCCTTTGCGTACACAACTTGTAGTTTTGGCCCTCGAAAGCGAGCCGTTGATGAGTCTGATCCTTGCATATTCTGGTATGATTTCCCTATCTTCTCGTCTCAACCCTTCACACACACAGGTAGACTGATTTAGTGAAGCTGCGCATCGGTCGCAACTCTTGGAAACAGGCTTGCCCCAAATGCGGATGGCAGAGTGGGCGCAGTCTGTTTTCCCAGCTCTGAGAGAGTCGTTGCTCGGTGCATCTTCTCCGATGCCCAATGTCGCGCTAGCCATGGCGATCATGCTCATTGCCCTGGAAATCATGTCTCCCGGTGCATTTGGCCGGGGCGTTTCGTGGCGCGAGCATGTTGCCCATGCGAGAGGTCTCCTTGCCAAATGTTTGGACCAAGCTCCCCAAGACGCCACGGTGGAGGGGATATGGTTCATACAGAGTTGGTTGGGTTACATAGACATCATGGGCAGTCTCATGGCAGGGCCGCTTTTGGATTTGACTTGTAAGTCACAGGTCTACTTCCAGCTGTCTGAGCCTCGTATCTGTGCCAATGATTTGGACGAGATTGACTGCATGATGGGGATATCGGTGAAATGCGCTCGCTTGCTTGGTCAAGTGGCAGAGTTGGCCAAGCAATGTCAAGGCGAACGATTCAGGCTGGACGGCCAGTTGTTGCAGGGCTGGTGTCCTCAGCCAACCATGGTGGAACAAGCACTATTGCTGGAAAAGCACCTGATGGAGAGTCTGAGGCAATCTTCAAGACCTTGTCCGCATGTGAGGGCCGGCAGTATTCACATGAAGGACTTGGCGGAAATGGCTGGTGTGAACGAGGCCTTCCACTGGGCTGGCCTGATACATTTGCACCGCAGAGTCCTCGGAAAGGCAACCGACCACCCGGACGTACAAGGAAGTGTGCGGAAGATTATGCAGTGTCTAGAGCAGATTGGAACTCGGGGTGTGGCCAAGACGCGCTACCTTTTCCCGATATTCACGGCAGGCTGCGAGGCCCTCACGGAGCGTCAGCAGACGAAACTCCTGGGACGGTTAACCAATGCGGAGAAGAGCGGCATGAGACAGGTACGTGAGATATTCTTTGGTGTTTGTCCCGGGGAGTTGAAGACGTTATTGACCAAGAGGGGGTGGCGCTGTAGGTGCACTCTACTCGACTACTGCTTCAGCAAGTCTGGACAACCGGCAAGGTGTGGGAAGAGCTCATTTACAACGAATTTGTCGCATGAAGTCGTTTTACACGTGTGCATGCTTGTTTGGCACGATAGAATACGAACTAGAATGGATACTACTCTGTAGCGCAACGCACATAGCACAACTGTACATGGTTTCTCGGCTTCTTGTTCCCTCTCTCTCTCTCTCTCTCTCTTGTTTCTTTTCTTTTTCTTTCATCGATGTCTATTCTTTAGACTATTTGTCTCGTCACGCTGGAACTCTGTATCAATACGGCGAGGGGCATGTGTGGGATGGGGTTTCAACACCCGAGTATAAAGGATATGTTGGGTGTGATTTGGACTCGTTGTTCACACATGATGGCTGTTTAAGTTTGACACAACAGATCCTCTCCTTGCTAGGTCATCTGTCTGCTGGGATCGATCTCGGCTGACGGATCTTGTCATGTCATCCAAGGGCGTGAATGGTCCAGACAAGTCAATCTTTTGGCCACGCTCCCCAGCTTACTGGCGGTCAAAAAACACGATGAGTTAAGGGGAGAGCGAACTCGCACATGTGCATTGACTGGTTCGAGATGACGGGCCGCCAGGTGGACCAGCAAGGGGGGGCTTGAGGGGGCCATGACGCAAGTTTTGGTGGATGTCGCTGGATAAGATGTCAACAGGTTAATTGATGCATGTTTAGGCTTGGGCTCCGAGATGCGGCGCCGAGAAGAGAGGCTCTATAGATCAAGCAAGTACATGTACTTGAGCCACTCGGCCAATAGCAGCGAGGCAATTGACCACCTGTCGTCTCTGACACCTTATGCACAACTTACTGCACTGGACTGCATGTACATGTACGTATGCACGTGTGTACTGTGTACCCCGTGCCTCCCATCTTATTACGAGCATCGGAGCAAGCATGCATGGGATGGGTCAAAGGCGCTCACTTGCATGTAAGCATGTCAATAGTAGCACTTGAGTTCATTTGACTCGGTACATCTCCTAGTCGCATCGCTGAATGGGCCGGCTGACCCGTGTGATGGATCTGGGAGTCTCTGTGCGACTCATCTTGGCCTCGAGCTGTCGCCGACGCCGGCCATCCTTTGCGTGCCTGGCTTGTCACAGCGGCCCAGATTTTTTTTTATTTTTATTTTTTATTTTTGGACACGCCCATTTGTACCTCGCGGGTTCGCATCTGCACATCACACCTCTCTTGCCATCGCACAAAGCAGTTTCCTTGGTCGATTTATACAGTTCGGCTGGCCCAATTGTACTATTCAAACCCTCAATCCTTTCGCTTCGTCCTGTATACATCCACAATGTCGGTACGTTGACGCTTTGCGCTGCCCCTCCCTGGCACTTTTCTTCCTGTATGGCGGGGTGACTCACGAATGACATGTGCCCAGCAGTTCTACATTGAAAACAAAAATGTTGGCAACAAGGCCGACTCTGAAGATTGGAGAAGTACGCGCTCGTAGTCTCTTGTCCCTTTTGCCCTGTTGCACATTCGCAATTCCGCCGTCGTGCCGACTGACTCTGTCCGCCAGTTCGAGGCTACAACCCTCTCACGCCGCCCGATCTGCTGCAGCACGAAATCCCCCAGACCACGGCTTCAAAAAGGACCGTCATCGAATCAAGAGATGAAGTCGCCGCCGTGGTAAACGACACGGACGAGCGAAAACGTCTGCTCGTCGTCGTCGGCCCCTGCTCCATCCACGACCCCGAAGCCGCCCTCGCCTACTGCGACCTCCTGCTGCAGGCTCGCGAGAAACACAAGGACGAGCTCCTCATCGTCATGCGCTCGTACCTCGAGAAGCCGCGTACCACCGTTGGCTGGAAGGGCCTCATCAACGACCCCGACATCGACGGCAGCTTCAAGATCAACAAGGGCCTGCGCCTGGCCCGCCAGCTCTTCGTCGACCTGACCGCCAAGGGCATGCCCATTGCCAGCGAGATGCTGGACACCATCTCCCCTCAGTTCCTGGCCGACTTGCTCTCGGTCGGTGCCATTGGCGCCCGAACCACCGAGAGCCAGCTGCACCGCGAGCTGGCCAGCGGCCTGAGCTTCCCCGTGGGATTCAAGAACGGCACCGACGGCTCGCTGGGCGTTGCCATTGACGCCATTGGCGCCGTCAAGCACCCTCACCACTTCCTGTCCGTCACCAAGCCTGGTGTCGTTGCCATTGTCGGCACCACTGGAAACGAGGACTGCTTTGTTATCCTGCGAGGCGGCACTCGGGGCACCAACTACGACGCTGCTAGCATTGCCGAGGCCAAGGCTGCCCTGGAGAAGAAGGGCGTTTCTCCGAGACTCATGGTTGACTGCAGCCATGGCAACTCGCTCAAGGATCACAGGAACCAGCCCAAGGTTGCTGCTAATATTGCTGAGCAAATTGCCAAGGGGGAGACTGGTATCATGGGTGTCATGATTGAGAGTAATCACAACGAGGGTACGTTTCTGCTTGGTGATGGATTTTTTTTCTTTTTCTTTGTAGCTCTTCTTTTGCAATAGAAAAGAAGAAACAAAAGAGGGAGCATATCACTAATATCTTTAAAAAAAGGCAACCAAAAAGTCCCCGCCGAGGGCAAGTCGGCCCTCAAGTACGGCGTCAGCATCACCGACGCCTGCATCAACTGGCAAGACACCGAGTCTGTGCTCGACTTGCTCGCCGACGCTGTCAAGCAAAGGCGCCAGGTTCTTGGTACCAACGGACACGCTTAGATACCCAAAAGCAAGCCAAAAAGGTTCATGTCGTGTGTTTTCTTAATCTTTTCCCAAAAAGCGCCGTACAACAAGGAAATACCTCTTGTTTTTCCCCCTCTCACCAAGACATTTCTCCCTTTTGTTTTTTGTTGGACGAAGGATTTCTTACCGCACCTGGAAGAAGCTTGGAGTTGTAAGCGGTGGATATTAGTATAAAACATGCAAAACTTAACGAGAATTAGATGAAAATCAAATATGACGTATCTGGAAAACCTGTGCCAAAGAAAACTCGCAGTCTCCATCAAATTATCCCGTGTCGTGTCTCTCTCCCTCTCTCTCTCCATCACAGCTCCATCCCATCCCATCTAAACCGCTACATCCGGCCTCAAAGCACACCTACAGCCGTCGCTGAAGCCCGCCCTGGGCACCAGCACCTTCACCTCCCTCGTCCCCTCGGGGTAATCGAGCGGGATCCTCAAGACGGCACCGCTCCGATTGTGCGAGGCGTACAGGACGCCGTCGCTCGTGGCCACGACGGCGCCAAACACGCTGCCCCGGATGCCGAAGCTCGGCAAGCCCTTGTGCCTCACCTCCCACCGGTGCGAGCCCACGTCCCACCTGACCAGGTACACGATGCCGTCGGCGTCGACGGCCACGCTGTGCAGGTAGCCCGGCGCGGCGGGCGTGAAGGCCCAGTCCGCGGCCGCCAGGCCCCCCGGCAGGGCGCTCGAGTCCGACGTGCCCCTGGCCACGACCTGCCCGTACCGCGCGGACCCGGGCTTCAGGTCGACCCGGGCCCAGGCCCTCCCGCCCGCGCTGTAGTAGAACTGGCCGTCGGCGTCGACGTCGCCTGCGTTGGCGGCCATGTCGCCTTTGAGCACCGTCTGCAGGGCCCCGTCGTGCCCGACCCGGACCACCTCCTCGCCCCGGAGCCCGTAGACGAAGCTGTCGAGCGGGTTGAACCCTATGGCGTTGACTCTGGCGGAGGAGCCGCCGAGCCTGGAGGAGAGGGTGGTTTTCTCGCCCGTTTGGAGGTTGACGCTGAGGAGGGTGCGGTCCCGGATGAAGTAGGCGTCTGCGGAGCAGTTGAAGGGGACTAGTGTGGATAGGGGGGATAGGCGGCCCGTGGTTGATGATGGTGATGATGATGTGCTGGCGGCTATTGTTGGGGTTGCTGGGGGTGTTGTGGTGTCTGTGGCTTCCGCTGTGGTGGTGTCTGAAGTTGCGGCTTTGGTTGAAGTAGTTGCGTCAGTTGAAGTGGTGGCATCAGTTGTTGAAGCCGTGCCAGCTGGGATGGAGATGTCGCTTGAAGTGGTTGTGTTGGTCAAAGTTGTGGCACCAGTTGAAGTGGTGTCAGCCGGAACGGTGATGTCAGCCGAGGTGATGGCACCGGTCAAAGTAGTGACACCGATTGAGCTATTGACAGCAGTCAAAGTAACAGTCAGAGTCGTGGGAGCAGGTGTGGTGTCGGCCAAAGTTGTGTCAGTCGACGCAGTGATATTAGTCGGGGCTTTTGTCGTGGTGGGAGCTGTAGTTTCGGGCAAAGTCACCGTGTCGGTAGAGGTAGTATCAGACGGAGCCGCGGTATCAGTTGAAGTCGCTGTAGTAGCCGGGGTTTCAGTAGAGGTAAAGTCAGATGTTGCAGTAGTAGTCTCGAGCGTATTAGTTGCAGATGACGAGCAGTCTAGAGTGGTGGTTACAGTTGCTGTTGCTGCGGCTGTGGCTGAAGATATGGCAGTAGATGTAATGGTGTATACCAATGTTCTGGTGACAGTGGGCGGCGTGTCGCATCCCAAGAAGCTGCAAAGATCAAAGTGATCTCCCTTGACGTCTTTTCGGGGTTGCAAATCGAGCGGGTTGGCAATCGTGAGGCCCGTCAGGGCGACGAGAATGAAGCTGGTGAGCATGGTGTTTTGGGAGGAGAAGTGATTTGGTCCCTGTTGCTCTTCAAATTCGGATGCTTCGAGCGGGATAAAGGGGTTCATTTATACGTCACCTTAACTGTAGCCATTCCTATCAGTCTCCATCAACCTGATATGTCGGTATGCTGACATCGTACAGGTCGGCGAGGGTCTAACTGTCCGTCCAATTACGAATCGTCAATGCCGATAACACAATGGACAGGGAAACCCATTCCTAAGCCTTTGTTTTCCATTCTCGTTTGACACCATTTCGGATTGGAGGCGTTCTTTCGGAAAACCTATTCCAGGATACAGAGTGAGACTGTGACATGAGCAAAGAGCTACGGAGGGAGACTTTGGTGACCCGAAAAGGTAGCATTCGGCCGATGATTCAATACGGGAAGCGTGTAGAGCCATTTGCGGTAATCATGCGCAAGGGTCCTTGTAGAAAGGCATTTCGCTATACGGCGGGCAAAAGCCTTGGTGCTTTTACGAGCCTTCACTTACACTACAACACATACATGATACAGCTGCTTGAAGAGGCGGAATACTGCAGACTTTTGCCGGCTTTCCCCAAATTGTTGTATATGGATGGAAATGACTGTAATTTTCTCGTTTACACGATTTCACATGTTCATCTATCATAACTCGAACCAGGGTCCGACAGTAAACCTACCATGCGTCGTGCAACGCAAACAAGCGTCCTATCTATACTACAGCGCAACCAAGCAACGCGAGACATTGGCTGTGGTTTCACGGTCTCAAACGACGGCTTTTCTCGGAGGAGTTTGACTAGTCCTCGCATGAGTGAACAGACGCCATCTTCGCAAACCGACATGTAGACCCGACAAGTCTGGTTGCGAAAGGATGAGGTAGCATCATACATGAGTCCTGTCGTGAGTAGCCTGCATGCTGTTGAACTACCAATTCGGCTTCTGCCGGACTCGATCTTGCCGATGGTCAAGCCGCACAAAGTTTTGGAGCATTACGAGATGAGATAACAAGGCAATGCGGAAGTACGTGTGATGCGTCCTTGTACGTGAGTGGTGCCCTGGGGACAGCCGTACCGTTCATTGGAGACTACTCGGCTCAACGTACGAGCGTCGCAAACGGAACAGGTATGACGAATGCTTGACATGTTTGTGATCCGCTTGGGAGTTGAGTATCCCGAGTTCTCTCGTGCTCGGTGGTGCTTGGCCGACGATGCATTGGCATTGGTCGGCTCGGGGTGTGAAGAGCGAGCCTCTGATGGTTTTCACACTGTATGCTCCATCTGCCGCCCTTTAAAGCCGCCCCACCCAGGCACTGGGGCCGCCACGGCCACCAGACGGCCACCGAGGACAAAAAGCTCATGCCGCATCCACACTGTGTGTCGCCTTGTTCCCCTTGGCAGCCAATTTTCGCCTACGACGAGCTTCGTCTGGCCAGTTCTCATCCCATCAGCCTCGTGGCCACAACCCTCCATCCTCTCAATCCTTCGCAGACACCCCAGCGGCGGCGCGATTCCCAACGACAGCAGCCACCGCAATCCACTCTCGTCAAACATCCTCGAATCCCCTCGTTACACCTTGTCCCCGAGCTGTCGCGAGGTCCATTCGCGACGCGCAGGCCATGGCACGACGATACTCGCCCCCCGACTCGCCTCTTTCATCAATGGGGTCCGGTTCCGAGGCCTATGAGGAGGATGGCCATGAGGAAGACGAGGCTTCCCTCCGCCCGTCCAAGCGACAACGAGTCGACGCGCAATCCACCACGTCGTCTGCTGTTGTCCCGGAAGTCGAACACGACGCTGTGCCGGTTCCAGATACCCTCGAGGGCATGTCGGATGTGTCCTCGGACACTTCGGGCGACATCCCCAGCTCACCCGTGAATGCACGACTCGAGGAAGACGACTTCCAGGACCAGGTGACTGTTTGCGACTGGGATGGCTGCCCCGCCGGCGACCAAGGCGACATGGATAAGTTGGTCGAGCACATCCACAACTCGCACATTGAGAATCGCCAGAAGAAGTACACGTGCGAATGGAAGACGTGCAGCAGGAAGGGCCTCCCCCATGCCAGCGGGTATGCGCTCAAGGCGCACATGCGCAGCCACACCAGGGAAAAGCCCTTTTACTGCTACTTGCCTGGTAGGACAAGATACCCGCTGCTCCTACGTTTGGAGAGGTCAATGGCTAACACTGTGGTCCCAGAATGCGACCGCTCCTTCACCAGGTCCGATGCCTTGGCGAAGCACATGCGAACCGTCCACGAAACCGAGGCCCTGCGGCCTTCAGATCCGGTGCCAAAGTCTATGCAATCCGGCACAGCTGGCAAGTCAAACAAGCTCAAAATTATCATCAAAACGCCGCAGTCACATGGGGGCACCGGCGATGACGAAACGGGCGACGCCGTAAACGGGGACCCTGCCAACTCGGACTTCTTTACCGCCCTGCCCAGTGACCTGTTTTCTTCAGAAGAGCTCTCCTTCCCGGTGGACAAGCTGTATCGCAAATGCTACTGGGAGTCGAAGTGGGCTGACGAAGTCGGCGAGGCTCTCAGGAAGGAATGCAAGGAGTGGGAGAAGGTATACTACAAGGAGTGGCTGGAGAAGGAAGTGCTGCTGTCACAGGTCATCAAGAGCGAGGTTGACTGGCACGACAGGCGCAAGGCCATACTCGACGGCACCGCCGACGTTCAGGTTTCTGGCGTCGTGGGCTCCAAGGACAGTGAGCAGACCAACGGCAACGGCGTGGCTATGCCCTTCAAGAGGGCCCAAGCCGCAGAGTCATAGGTTGCATGGGCCGATGGACGACACAAGACTTGTTTGCCTTCCTAGTGTTTAATGAAATGGCATGGGCTTGCCACGGAGAAGGTCGAAGGATGCATTAATTATAAGGACAGGAGTTGGGGAGTTGGGAGGGGGGATTTGTCACTTTGGTATGCCTTGGACGAGCGGTTTTTTATCTATTTTTTGTTTTTTCGTTTCTTTTTTTAATGGGATATATTCAAGCACTTGCTGTAGCCTAAATGCGCCATGTACAAGGCGGTTTCCCGAGTTGAATCCATGCGTAGGGATAAGACCTTGGGTTGGCAGAAATTGTCAACCACCACGGCAAAAAAAAGGTGCCGATGTCGCAAGCCGCCACAACTAGAAGACCTCGGGTTGGCGGGGTCTCAGCGCCGTCCGTCCATTTCTAATCCCCGGCTTTTTATTGCCCAGACATGGACATGATAAACGCAAAGCTGGTAGCAGTCCCGTTTGCCACTCGATTATTTTTCGTCTTTTGCAAACAATCCCTCGATTCCATCTACACTTTTTCCTTTTCTTCTTCGGATCTTTTTTTTTCTTTTAATCAGCAGGTAGTCAAGGCAAAAGTCGCAAACTCGCCACCTTTTATTTTTTAAAAGAAACTCCCCACATGACGCCGACGCAAACATGAGCGCCATTCTCTCAGTCGACGACCTGAACGACTTTATTTCCCCCGGCGTAGCGTGCATAAAGCCCATCGAGACGCTGCCGGCGGCTCCTGCGCCGCCGCAGGGGCAGGAGCAGGGTCGGGCGCTCGAGACAGAGGTCATTCTCGACGGGCAACAACCGCGGGTGGGCGGCGGCGGCGGCGACGCTTCCGCCGCGCAGATATCGCTGACGGACTGCCTCGCGTGCTCGGGGTGCGTCACGTCCGCGGAGGCGGTGCTCGTCAGTCTACAGAGCCACGCGGAGGTCCTGTCGACGCTGGACTCGGCGCCGGGGCTGAGGATCGTTGACGATGGTGGCCGGGGAGGGAGGCCCAGGGTGGACGGGCTGGAGAATGAGGATGCCAGGCTGTTCGTGGCGAGCGTGAGCCCGCAGACGAGGGCGAATCTGGCGGCCGCCTGCGGCAGGGGCGTGTCCGAGGCGCAGGCAGGACGCATGCTGGAGAGGTTGCTGCGGAGCGAACGCTGGGGGTTGGCGGGCGGTGGGAGGTGGAGGAACGGGTTTACGTGGGTTGTTGATACCAACGTCGCCAGGGAGGTGGCTCTTGTTCTGGGTGCGGATGAGGTTCTCGGGCGCACCACCAGGCCTGGGGGCAATGCGCCTGCGCGGCCGATACTGTCGTCTGCGTGTCCTGGGTGGGTGTGCTACGCGGAGAAGACGCATCCTCATGTTCTGCCGCACTTGTCGAGAGTCAAGTCCCCGCAGGCGCTGACGGGGACGATTCTCAAGACTACGCTGAGCAGGAAACTGGGCATCCCGCCGAGTAGGATATGGCACCTGGCGGTTATGCCGTGCTTCGATAAGAAACTCGAGGCCAGTCGGGAGGAGCTCACGGATGAGGTGTGGGCGGGATCAGGGCTTCCGGGACGAGGCGTCAGGGACGTGGACTGCGTCATCACAAGCAAGGAGATTCTAATGCTCGCTGAATCAAGAGGACTCAATTTCTTCGATATCCCGCGCGACAACGACGGCACCACTAGCTCTCTACTAGAACCCGCGGTGCCGTTTCCCGACGCACGACTACACAGCTTCTTATTCCCCGCCCGAGCGTCCCCAAGAGTCCCACGCATGGCAGGTTCCTCAGGCGGCCTCCTCTATCATATCTTGCAGTGCAAAGCTGCACAAATACCTGGTGCTCAGATTCAAACGACACGCGGTCGTAACGCGGATGTTGTTGAGTTTGTTGTGGCTGCCAATGGCGAGCCTGTGTTCAAAGCAGCACGCTACTACGGATTCAGGAATATCCAAAACTTGGTCCGGAGGCTGAAACCTGCTCGCCCGTCCCGAATGCCCGGCGGCAAACCATTTGGCAGCGCCCGACGACCGACAGGCAAGTCGGCGTCTCTTGAGTACGGCTACGTCGAGGTCATGGCGTGTCCCGGAGGTTGCACCAACGGTGGTGGCCAGCTCAAGGCCGATGATCTGGTGGATCAGGGGAGGAGACAATATTCAGACAGACCAGGTCCTCAGGAACAAAAGGAGTGGCTGGCGGAAGTCGACGAGGCGTATTTTTCAGGTCAAGAGGTTGGTGGTGCGGATATAGTAAATGGTAATGACGATGATGTTCGGAGCAGCGAGGATGTGGTGGGTGGCATCCCTCGCTCGTATATACATGATACCCTGGCGTACTGGTGTGACGTAACGGGCATTAGCATAGATAGACTTGCATTCACGACGTATCGCGAGGTCATAAGCGACGTCGGAAAGGGAACTGGAGCCGAAAAAGTGGTTCAGTTGGCTGGTAAAGTTGGCGGCGGGTGGTAGTCATCCTTCTCTTCCTCTCATTCTGCAACGAAGAGAGGACCGAAAAAATATCAGGATATTTTGTTCCTCCTTCTTTCGAGCACATATGCCAAACATCAGCTCTCTTCCCCCCCGCGACGTGCAAATCCAAATCCCCCCCGGCCAGTTCCGTCGGGTCCTCTCGGCATTCGAATAGCTGGCTGTGGCTGCGGTGCTTGAAATTGGTACTGGTCATCCCTCAATGTCGTGCCTCTGCCTGATCCGCCGTCGCTATCCCCTCCCCCACGTCGCTGAGCCATTGAATCCGGTTTTGGCGACAAGTTTGGGTCGTACAGCTCCCTACCTGATGCGGCTTGATTGTTCACCCTCCTAATATCCGGCAGTCTCCCGCCGTCATTCGTAGTACCACCATTACTTCGCTGCCCTCCTCCTCCCCCTCGCCCACGGCCCCTTCCAGAATGTCTACTCTCCCCCCGGGGCGGCGTCACTGTCCCCGGAGAGGATCCCCTACTTGACGGGTTCGACTCCCCAAAAATCTTGGCACGCGCCTCGTCATACCGCCTCTGCTTCTCCTCCAGGTCACGCTTCTGCTTGGCCCGGATCTCCTCGGCGGTAGGCTGGGGCTGTTTTGCGTCCTTTTCGCTGTCGTCGTCGTCCATTGAGAGCTGTGACATGCCCGTTGTGGCATCACGTTTGGCAATCATGGGTTTGCGGCTAAGCACCTTGACTTGGGGCTTGAATGTGGACGTTAGGGGGACAGTGTTGCTGGCTTCGAGGTAGTGGAATGTCTGGGGAGTCGCGTCTCTGGATGGCAATGTTAGTGGGAGCAGGGTAAAAAAAAGCGGCATGGCTGGGCTGGGGAAGGAGAGGAGGAGATGAGGCTGCTAAAGCAGACATACGCAGACTCCCACATCTTTCGATTCGCCTCTTCATGCCGCGTGATGCGCTCGGCTTTCGTCAAGGGCTGCGCGGCCTGGAGGGAAACACCACCCTGCTGGTGGTTCTCGTCGTCTTCCACGGCCCTTCTGTCCGCCTGGGCTTCCCAATCGTCGTCCCAGGCATCCGGGATGCCAGACTTCTTCATTTTGAGCAGCGACTAAGTCTCCTTGTCGTATCACGCCCAGTTCGATTGAGCGGATGAGCGGAGGGGTGGATGGGAATGGGGGCGTGATGGCGGCAGCAACGATGGTGCATCCAGCAGAACAACCAGGCAGCGCCAATTCCCTCAAGACGGAAGCATCAAGGAGGACGGCAAAGAATGCTCTGCTTGCAAAAAGGCACAGCAGCCCGGTGGGGATCCAGACTTTGTCGTCGGAACCACGAGAGGAGCATGGTCAGTCCACGGTTCCAAAGGCAGAGCCAAGCGAAACCGCGCTACTCCGTAGTTAGCTGAGTCTGTGTGCCCTAGGATGTGTCTGCATGGGCCGACTGGTACCTGCGGCCCAGTGCCATTTTTGGTGCAGCAACCAAGTTCCCACAGGACCAGCACCACAAAAGGACGGGGGTGAGAGGGTCAATGAGAGGGGCCCTCTGCGTCGTGGGGCGGATCAGGTTCTCATTTTGAGATAATCTTGATGCCTTGCATTTTTGAGCAACGCAGGGGACTGTCCCAGATACATCATCGGTGATTCTGTTTCTTGTACATGTCCAACAGCACACGATCCCATAGCTCAAGTTCGCCAAACGTCACACCAACTGTCCCCTTCCAGCCTCGACGACTTGTCAGACCAGATTCCCATGGCTGGCGTGCCCGCGTCCTCCCAGTCCCAGCCTCGATATGAGGTTGCCGAACCAGTCACGCCCGTAGGGAGCAGTTCCAGAAGAAAGGATGAATACGAAAAGGTCATGGCTAGATTGTCAGACCAGGCATTTCACTCACGTTAGTCCCAGTCATACTAGTCCATTAGGGACGAACTCGTCACGTAAACCTGTGTCGAGGAATTATGACACGCCCTCGGATGGAATTGGCCTTGCTGACCAGACTACATTTGTAGAAAAGTATCCTGATCCCTTGGTAGTCCGCCAGGGTGTCGATCCACAGCTCTACCCGCAAGGTTTGACGCTGGACATGGAGAGGAAATGGCTGGCGAGGATTAAGGCTGTCAGGGACGGGAGTGGCTAGAGAAGTTTCGCAGTTGCTTGTCTGATGGGGTCGTTCGATTCAGTTGATTCGTGCTTCATCTGCATACTCTTCTACTCTGTACAGCGATGATATTAGTTGAGACCGTAACGAATAGCGAAACTCGAGATGGATGTACTTTGCCCCTTGGCCCCAAGATATCACTAGATTACTCCGTAGGTGTAGATCATATAATGCAGGGCGTTTTGCTGTCCTACGCTGCAGTGCAACGTTGTTCGGCTCGCGGCACGAAATGCCGTCCAAACTAAATAAAATAATTTTTACAAAATGCAACACATTATATCATGCTTCTTTTCCGGGCGAACCTTTTACTTGTTAGTTTCTCGTATTACTTACTCCATGGATCCCTCCTACATCTTCATATAAACGAAACATATCCGGAAGTCGAATAGGAAAACTGAATGGATTTGTTCCGTCTCATTTACCCATCCAGAAAACCCGCCATCAAGTTCTGCGCTGCATGATCACACTAGCATCTATAAAAGAATGCCGCCACAACAGCTAAACTTCCATCAAAAGATTCCCAGATATTCATCAGACGACATGGTCATTAGAAACATACTACTAGAGGAGTAACTACGGAGTATGAATGGCCCTCACTTGTTGAAGCCGCATAAATAATAATAGTGCCTCTCGACCACCAATAAGAAGCCGGCCGTGTAGCTCAATGGCAGAGCGTCTGACTACGATTAACAAGTATCGATCTAGCGATACCTGATGTATGTAATCAGAAGGTCGCAGGTTCGACCCCTGTCTCGGTCAATATCCCCCTCTAGATGATAGAGACTTTTCAGGAATATAGAAGTGGCATTCATGGCCTCCTTTTTTTGCTCATTGAGTTCTCAAAGTGCAAAGCACTCTATACTTGTCCTTTCTTTTATTCTCACTCTATCGTGACTCTTCAAGTCACCGATACATAAGCTGCCTGTATTTCTGGGCGGAGAGAAGAGACTTGAGTGACAAACGCCTTCATTGCATAGCACTCAAGTACTCTACTCCGTACCGGGAGTGTAAACTAGTGGATTATTAGGAACGCGACCTTTTTTTCTTTTTTTTTTCTTGGCTTCGGACGTACGAAGCTAGCGCTCCATATTTTCTCCGCTAATACCTACTACCAGCCCCCACAGGTATCAATTGATATTTTGTATGCAACTTCATGACAGCTATGTATGCTAAACACCGAGAAATTCGGTTGAACGACGGACTTTGAAATAGGGCAGCAGTTTTCTAAGCTCTTCCCCCTTTCAAATACAAGAAAAACACTATAACAAAGCCTCTAGTAGGTCCCTGGTTAATTTCGCTGCTTGGTATTATAGAGATCACCTGACTTTTCACTGGTAAACCTTCGGTAGTAGCATCTTCAAATTCGAGGCCTAGCGTTTATCGCAACCAATTGCCGCCAGCGCGCGGCGATGAATAGAAAATATGCTCAACACTAATTATGAGGTCAAGACACAAGCTAGTAGGCAAGCTAAAGCCCTCAATCAAGCTAAAGCTCTCAACTCAACAAGGCGCTCGAAGGCGGCTTCCACCAAGCATTCGAAGAAATATATGTGGCGTGCTGGGGATTAACGCACCAGACACCTAGCAAAAGTTGAATTCACCCTACGCAGGTGAGCAATTTTCACAGTCGCGCCCCCAAGTAATCCACGTGTGAACGACGAGATAAACCAGGCCATAATTGGCATTTGTTTAAACGCCAAGACGCACAAGGAAAAATGCAAATTCTAAAAAAAAAACCTAAACAAAAGCCAAGAGAACATTATACATGCTCTGAACGCTACGCTCGAAAAGAGAGGGTATATTATAGAAACGGTGTCAAAGAGTTGACTGACAGGGCGTCAAACCTGCCATCTTCTGATTACATTTCAAGTATCGCTGGATACTTGACGTCGTCAAGAGGCGCAGGGCCTTGGAATTTGCTTGCAGATTTGGGCTGTCAACCGCCTATGTCAGTTACCTACCATCTCCGTGCTCACCAACTCGACAAAACGGGGATAGGGATTGCAGCCTTGCAAATATAAACAGATGAGTACCTCGTAGTTAAACTACCATGTAGCCACCAGTACTAGCTATCTACATATGCATGTGATGACCTACGCTATAGATTGCAAGAACAGAATGGTAAGCCTGTGTAAATTGATTCTAAAGCAGTTTGCAGAGCCCGCTAGTACAAATAGACGCCACAACTACAGGATTGTTGAAGAACCCGAGGATTACAACTTTAAGATGAATAATCAGAAGTGTACTTTCCAACGTCTTGTGCACGGGCTAAAAACTAAGGCTAGGAGAAAGCGGTTATGCATAGGTTTTGCTACCTACCTACCTAGAGAGGGAGGTATGTTTGAGGCAAGTACTTGAGTGTTGACTGTATCAGATCTTAGAGAGCCAAACCTCATGGATAAGATGATCCAATGGAGCGCAGCATGCCGCCCGTATAGCTCGTTTCATACTATCAAAAGGCTAGATATACTATATGCATTTAATGTATAAGGTCAAGCCGATAGGACACTCAAGCACTGTCATAACTTCATAACTACTAGTAGCGTATTCATTACACTGTAAAAGAGGCAATGTATAGCATAGAACGGCTCCATTGTCGCTTCATCTTTCATAGTGGCCCAAGATAGTCTAATCCGATATCTTGGCAAATAGCATCACTGTTCTGCCATGGAGCTACACGGCATTGATGTGATGAGCCCATTAGGTACCCCGTACATCTGTACTCTCTGGCCATGACGGCACGGCCGACCAAAGATGACAAGTTCGATGTTTCTGATGGCCCATGATGTCTCGAGCGGTCTCACTCCATATATAACGGCTCAGCTCACAAGACGACTTTTCTCGGCGGCAAAGGTACGGAGTATCGATGAAAGAAGTGAAAATGCCGAGTCTCAATCGGCTACAGTGTCGAAAGCTGTTCTCAACTGTCTCAATTTTACTTGATCATTGGTCAAACAAACACACGCGCCTCGCTCGCTTTGGCATGCCAGAAGCCGGATAGATTCTCCCATGACTCGGAGAGACTGAGGTGCCGCACCCGCCATCGATAAGCCAAAGTTTAAATGGGTGAAGCCGTCCCTCACCCGAAGCTCTGTGGGAAGTCGGTGGAATGATGACCGGAGGGGAGGGGCAAGTGCATCCATCACACACACGGGCCAGTCTCGGCCCCTCTGTTGGTGAACTTACAGGACGTCCAAATGACGCGACAGAGTCCGGTCTGGTTCAATGTTGATCAAGTGGATTCAATGTTCCAAGTTTGGGCGCCGCGAATGCTCGTCAGCTGCCTGTAACACCTATAACGCCTGCAACGCTTGCAACGCTCCAGTGGGGTTCGGGTGGATGAAGCGTCGATGGCAAAGAGGCGGGGTTGATGGATCATGGATGGGCTCGAGGAAACCGGTACGTAGCAGCTGGGGCAATTGTAGTTGAAAGACGAGTGAGTAGATCGAGGTGGCAAAAAACTTGCATGTGCAGGCCTGGTTGGAGAGGCCGGTGCGGTGATGACAACGGCACTCGTTAGGTCAAGCATTGAAGGCAGGTCTCAAGTGAGGCTCTCGTGAGTTTTAGCTGGGGGGACAAGTAGGAAAGACGAGTCTCATAAGCTTGGGTGGGATGCAAAGACGTTGATGGCTGACGCCTGCGGCCTTGGCCAAGAATCGGTACCCTAGCGCCATGCATGCGCTGAAGTGCAAACTCTGACCGCATGTGCAGGAAAGCTGGCACGCGGGCTGGGCAGTATCATCTCGTTCGCAGGTATCCAAATGCATCTTGTTTGCCCCCTCGGTGGCGTGCGAGATCAAATACCAGACCAATCAAAGCAAATGACGGAATGCTGGAGCAAGCTATTTATACGAGCTGTAAGCTGTAAGAATTTGAACCGTCGAATCCGGTAGCCTGGGCACCTAATTAGGTACACATGTAGGCAGGCAACAGGACTGGAG